AGCCCCTGCGGGGAGCGCTGGAGAGGGCGCACGCGGACCCCCGCCCCCACATACACCCCGAGAGGTCTCCCGGGCCAAAGCTGTCCCGGTGCCTTGGACTTGGGAACAAAAGCTACTGAGACCCTAACAGCAGCTAAGACCTCGGCGGTCCCCCTCTTGCTCAGCGCGAGGCCTGAGGGAGCTGGACGGGGAGGACCCGTCCTCATCAGTCTGCCACCAACTCGCCCAGCCGGGCCCTTCCTCCAACAGCGGGTCGGGAGGCCCACAGCACAGCCAGCCCAGACATGCGGGAGGCCGACCTTTCATCCCGTGTGCTCTCACCACGCCTACCCTCCTCAGCCCCTGAACACTCCAGGAAAGAGGAACGAGACTCTGAGGCGCTGAGCAATGTCTCCGCGGTGGGGCTTCGAGTATCTGGGGCCTACAAGTGCTTATCCTCTGGGTGATGCTGAAATGCCATCTCCCCTCCGACTTCCTTCTAGACCCAGAGCAGAGGGATAACTGGGACACTCTGGGGAGGGGCCAGTGACACCTGGTGCCTCAGGACCAGGACACATTTTGAAGGGGAAAGAGCTCCGGCATTGAGCACCAAAGAGCAAGCAGCCTCCTTGCCTGTAGCTGAATGTGTGCCTGGTGCCACCAGGCTGGCCACGTGGGCCACAGGCAGACCCTCCAGTGAGTGCTCTGAATGTCGTAACCAGCCCATCAAACTGTACGGCGAGTCAAGACCACGTGTTATGCGCGGGTCACCAGCAGGGTGGCAGAGTAGCAATGTGTGCACCCAGGTAGGCACCTGCTCAGTGTCCTGAAGCCTTCTCACCTTCAGTGTCAGCATCCCCACTGTGCAGCTGAAGACAGGGGCTCCGGGAAAGCTCTAAAACCTAAATTCAGGCCAGCTGGGCGTCATGGAGGTGAAGGCGGCTGGATCTACATAGTAGACTGATGGGGGCAGTTTTAGTCCCAGACAGGGTGGCTTGGAAAAGCACGCTGGGCACGTATGTCAAGTGTACATGTGTGCCCCAAATCCAAACAGAATAGACAGATAAGAGATTGTGGCAGGGCTATTCCCTCCTGGGGGATCTCTCACTCTCTCTCCCCCGTGAGCATGCACACCTTATAGCAAACAAAATTCCTACTCGGGGTCCCTCAGAAATAGTGGAGCTCACGCACACTTGGAAGGGAAAAGCAGCTGACCCCAGGCCAGGCTGTAAGAGGAGGGTGGGGAGAACTCCCAAATTTCCATTCCCCTCCTCGCTTTCCTGCTCTGCTTACTCGCCTTGGGGAAGGGCCAGCAGAATGAGCTAGCCTGACTGGAGAATCCACAAGCACTTCCCTGCGGATAAGATGAAGCTAGAGGGCAGCAGGGGAGCACACAGGCTGTGACGGGGACAAAGGGGAGCCTGGTGGTCCTCCAGCTTCCCAGAGCAGGCACCCCTCATCTCAGAATGCACAGGCCACATGCCCAGAGTTCAAAGTTGTGTAAGGTTTAGCCTTCCCCACACTGAGCCCTGCTTCCAATAACTAAAGATAGATTTCTGGTGGTGGGAATATTTTCTATAAAATCACTTTTAAAAAAATACTAGGAGAAGGAGAAATAAGACCTTGGTTAGAAGGTAAGTGTTCTGTTACCGAGCGAAGCAGTCCTACTCTGAGGGAGTCCCTGGGGTGACGTACTTCTCTGCACACCTGTCTGCTGTCTGTAAAGTGAGGAAAGGCTACCACCTGTCTCAAGGGACTCAGGGCAGCACATTGATGGCAGTGCTGTGACAAGTCTATGGTGGTGTGTGTGCCACCAATAGCCTCTTTGGAAATCTAACTGCCCTCATGCCCCAGGTATCCTTACCAAAATGAGATGTGACCATGTTCTGCCTCTCAGGTCCCCACAGCCTTATAGCTGGCCCATCTTGAGCAAGGGCATTCTGAGGCTGAGGCTGGACCAAACCAGGGGTCCAGCTAGTCAATGAACCCTTGGCTCACGATGTGGCTTTCACGCCCTCAGCCAGGAGTGCCAGTTGCAAGATACTTGGGGCCTTGACGAGTTTCTGCTGGCCAGTCCCCCAGGGCAATGGGGTGGTGACTCACCATACATCTATCTGCAGACCAGATCCCAGGTCAGTGGCAGGTATGAGATGGCAACCCAAGGATTTCACAGACACAGGCTGGCTGCTATGGCCATCATGATTCAAGTTCCCATTCCCCGTCTCCTTCTCCCCCATTTTCCTTGCTGTATTTACTTATTGGCCTCAGGGAGTGCCTGCCCTATAAGGGTTAAGAGGGACCCCTTAAATAAGAATAGTGTTGGGACCAGCAGATGGCATGCAAGTCGCTGGACTCCCACGTAGTTGACCACTGTTTGAGTCCCAGACCCAGTAGCTTAAACTCACATGGAGTGCATGTGTATGCGTGCCCAAGATCCCGAGAGGAGAATGGAGAAGGGTTTATGGCATGGCCATCTCCCTGGAAGGTGATTTCTCACTTTCTGTCTCTACCTTTCCGGCGAATTCATGCACCCTATAGCAAAAAATCTCTTAAAAAAAAAAAAAGAATAGAGCATCCCTCCACACCCACACAGCAAAAGATGACAAGAAACACAGGAAATGATCCTTTTCTAAATCAATACAATTTCTCAAATTTATTTTTTTCTTAAAGAAGTACTTCTAATCTCTGTCAAAAGGGAGGAGGAAAGGTCCTCCCCTCCCTTGTAAACACTGAAATACAGATCTGGGAAACCAGGATCGACACACACAAAAAGTGCATTTTTACAAAATATCAACTAAAATATATTTTACATGGATTATGCTTCCATTGAAATTCTACCAGCTGCATTTTCAGGTTCGAAAAAATATTTCCACATCTAAGAGATTTCAAAAGCATTTCCGTTTTGGGCAGCAGACCCTGCCTCCTGGGATCTCCTCCCTGCTGGGTGGGCAAGGACCCCGCACCAGCACCCTGGGAATGAGCAGGCTCCGAGGCTGGCTCTCCAGAGCCCCCTGCCAATCTGCCAACCTCTCCTACTGCCCTGCCCTCCCAACCTACACCTCCCTCCAAACAGCTTATCGAAAACAAGGAGACCCATGTCCCTTCCCTTCAAGTTTGGGATTGGGCTTCCCAAGCATAAATTCACTGCTGAAGCCTCCAGGCCTCACCCAAGCCCAATGACCATTCAGGAGCAACCTGTCTAAGGAACAGAACAGGACATGGGGGTTGCCAGGGTGCCATCAAGGCTCATGTCTACCTCCTTCTGCAGCCCCTGCCTGCCTCTCCTCACTCAGTGCCACCTCGTCAGCCTGCTGGGTCTGTCTGACCCTCCCTAAGAGGAACACTCAGTGCTGCCCTCCTCACTCTTGGCCCCGGGGGTATGCCCTCGTGGAAGTGCTCAGCTAGCAGGATCCCAGTGCCAAGTCCAAGCCACATGGCACTCCACTCCCTCTTCCCCCCATGCTCCTCTTTGGTACAAATAGGAAATAACCAGGCCCCTCCAGCCCCCTCACACAGAGCCCTAGGACAGGGCCAGAGTCAGGCAAAGACAACAGGGGCTGAGACTCCTAAATCTACTCTGAGCAGCATGAGGTGAGAACAGGGCCTCTGAGCAACAGGAACAAACTGCAAATGCAGGTCCTTAGCTCCCAGAGCGAGCTGCAGCTCAGCAGGTCCATGGACTGATACAGTGTTGATTCTCGCTGGGATGGAAATTAGTGCAATCTACAAAAGACTAGGGTAAGGGGTGGCAGGGCGAGGGGAGCCACAGCACTCCTTTGGTTTGATTTCAGGTGGGTGTGGCTTGAAGAGTCATGTGTGAAGTTCTGCAAGAGGTTTCCTAGAACCTCCACGTGTAAGGCAAGAGGAAAAATCTTCAACAAATCAGGTAGCAATTTTCCTTGCCCCCTGCCCCCACCCTCTCTCAGCACCCATCTGCCCTCCCAGATGTGACAAACTCCACATGGATCAGCAAGCTTTCTGGGAAGCCAGATCTGCTAGGTGGCCCAGGAAGGAGACAGACAGGAGGCTGACTCCAAGAGCCACACCCATGACTGAGGGCCGGGTCAACTTGTCCCAGCACCAGTGGCTACTGCAGGGGCAAAGGAGGAAAGCCAGGGAAAGGCCCCGAGTTCAGGAAGAGGAAGTCGATTCTGGAAGCCAGACTCTGGCTCTCCATGCCACAAAGGAACGAGCTCAGAGCTGTGCTAGAATCTGGGAGTGCCTGGTCCCAGGCTGATAGGGAAGCAGTGGGTCACAGTGGGTGAGGTAAAGCTGGCTCCCACTCCCCCCCGGAAGGCCCGGGGGAGGCTACAGAAGAGACCATTGGGTCCCTGGCTCCTGAGGGACCTTGTCCCTCCTCCCCCGCCCCCTCCCCTCTTTTAGGGCCCATGTCCCTCAGGTTTGGCCCAACCTTGGGGAAGACTGCTTCTTTGGAAGTCTCCACCCAGGGGACCACAGACAGGAACCCTGGGCCAAGCTGAGGGCTCTGATGCTTTCATTATAACCTTGGTCTCCCCTTCCCTCCCGGGGGGCCCAGAACCCATGCCCTCTCCTGCCCCCAGAGGCCACAGGCCAGCAACCTCAGGCCCCTGTGGCCCCTTAACCAAGTGCTGTGCTTCAAGCAGTGCCCCTGCCCCGAGCCCCACCTGCCCATGGGCAGCCCCAGTGTGGGCGTGAAGAGGCTACTGGGGATTCTTGAGGATGCGGCCATGGCGGAAGTCATAGACATGGCGGCAAAGGAACACCAGCTCAGGGTCCGTGTCCTCGGGCACTGTGCGATGTGGTGGGGTGGAGTAGTCTGCAGAGGGGGGCACCAGTGCTGTCTTTCGGCTGGGGAGGCCCTCGCCTCGGCGCTTGGCCATGGCACAGAATCTGCAGTGACACACCGTTTGCTGTCTTTACCACAGCACCTCTGCAGAAAGAGCAATTCCTTCCCCACCCTGCCCAGGGAGCTGGGACAGCCCCCTCCCAAACCCAAGGGGTGGTGCTGCCTCCACCCGTCCCAGGGGGGCCATGCCCACTCTGTCAAAGCCAGTCCATCTTCTGTCACTGGGGAACCACATCTGCCAGGGCCTCCTTCCCAATCACCTGCCAAGTCTCCTAGATTTTCTCCTAGAGCAGTACTGTCACCCCCCAACTCTGCTCCAACCACTCTACCTCAGTGGGGCAATAATTTTTCTTCTTTCTTCTAAAAAAATAGATAGTGGAGGCAGGTTATAAGGAAGAAAGTTCTGGGAGATCAGGCCCAGAGCAGAATGAGACCCCCTTGGGGATCCCGAGCAGCCCAAACACCCCAGGGAGTGCGGGGGGGAGAGGCCAGCCACAGGCACCACCCACCTGCAGTACTCAGCAAAGGTCAGCACATAGCACTTCTCCTCGATGCAGGCCACACTGTTCTGGTCCTGATGTCGCGACGCAAAGACTTCATTCTGCAAAGGCTCAAGGGGAGACAGGAGGCGGTTGGTGATCAGGGCTGGGAAGCACCCAACTCCAGGAGCAAGGCAGACACGCCCTGCTGCTGAGGCGGCTGATGAGGCAACTCCAGCTGGTAATTCCAGGTCGCCAGGGAGCTCCCTGGAAATGTAACCTCCACGGACTGCCCCCATCCCCCAGGCATTCCTCCTAAGTCCCTCTTCAGTCCTATCCTATGAGGGAGGCGGGAGGTGGGAGTCGGCAGAAGTGTGCAGGCACTGCTCCAGCCCCTATCACTGACCTCTTGACCCCACCCCCTGCCTAGGGGAGGAAAGGGGAACTGATCCCCATCTTCCCAGTTAGAAAAAAAGTCCCTGTAAGGGGAAACAAAACAGAGGGTAAGCCAGACCACGCCCACACGGTCACCTCCCTTAGCTTGGTGGAGAGGCCAGGGCATGCTAGGAGTCTTCTCCCCTCCTGCTCATGCTCATGCTGCCAACAACCCCAGAGACGGGGCTCAGCGGGCAGCTGCACCTCACCTTTCCCGAGACTGGGACATATTCACTTGCTCCCATTCTGGCAACCCTGCCCTCAAGGCTCTTTCTGTCCCCCTTTAACATGAAGGTTATTAGTCCTTTTGAAACATGAACTGAGGTCATGCTGGACAAGAGGTTACATAAACCCCAGGCCCTTTCCCAGATTCCCTGGAGTCCAAGGTAATGAGTACAGGGACGCGGCCACTCACGGCTGTCGTCCCCATACCATCTTAGTGCCACGACCGCCCCGTCACTCCTGCCCTTCCCGACCCATCACCAGGCAGCTCACCTCATGCATGCTGGGGCTGCGACCTCCCTGCAAGTGCTCAGGTCTGTAATACCATAGGAGGCTCATCATCAGTTCTCCTGGGGGGACAACAGAAGTGGTCATGACGTGGGCTGGCAACCCCAGAGTTACTTAAACAGGCTGGCAGGCTGCCGCCCGCCCCAGAGGCTCCTCCAACCCAATGCCTGGGCCAATCCTGCAGGCTCCGGCCACCTGTGTCTCCTTCCCCAGGTCTCATACTCAGTGGCCTGAAATGCTGTTAAGCATGGAGGGAGACGGGGGCAGAAGGCACTGACAGGTGAGGGGGAGGGGCAGAGGCCCTGTCCCTGGTGGCTGGAAAGGTTAATGAGCTGATCAAACCCAAGCCACAAGGCCTTCCGCAGCTCTCGGACAGACCTGGCTAGGTAGAAGGCAGATCCTAGGCCAGGTCCGCTCCAGGCAAAGACCAGTCTGGAGCCTGGAGTCCAGGCGACAGCAGCAGTCCCTTGGGTTCCCAGGCTGAGGGAAGGATACCTGACTCAGGGTTCTCCCAGAGGGCAGAGATCTTGGCCACGTAAGGCGTGGATGTCTTTCGCGGGCCTGACTTGAGGAGGACAGTGTCCCGGACTCGGATTGTCTCTCCATGCCGCTCCACTGCCTGGTAGCTCTTTCGGATGGCTGGTTCTGGCTCATCCTAGACAACAACCCAATGGCACAGTCAGGGTTGCAAGGTCACACTCAGCGTGAGGACAGAGAGAGGGAGGAAGTCATGTCCTTGCTACAATTTCCTCAAGGCAGGTGAACCACTTCAAGTTTGCATGTTAGGACAGGATGAGGGTGAAGGACTCCCATGGTTGGAGAAAAGATGGAAAATGGGGAAAGGAGTGAGGACGTAGTCTCAAGCTTGTGGGCTGAGCTCTCAGCACTCCTGAAGCAGGCTCTCTCGCTCCAAGCCCCCAGCGCTAGGTAAGTATTCACACTCCCTAATGGGACAGTGTGGCCTTTAACACTTAAACCACCATTGTAGTGGTATAGGCTCGGGCAAACTACTAAATCTATGGCTAAGCTTTAACGTCCTCATCTGTAAAGTGGGCATAATTAAAGGAACACTATGCAGAGCAGTAGCGAGGGTTAAAGGGGGTAAATACACACAGTGCTGAACTCAGTTCTGGCATCTAAGACGTGCTCAATAAATTTTAGCTGACATTCTTCTCATTGACAGACACAGGGACCTCACTGATCAACAGGGCCTCTATGAACACTCTCCATTTTACAGTTTAGGGTAGAAGGGACAAAGTAAACAGGGTGAACAGTGCAGACACATCAGACGGCTGCCCTGACATCAGTGACAGAGGGGGCAGCCACTGGCTGTGACTGACTGTGCATCCCCTCACTTCCCCAGGACAACTGTAAAAATGGTCAGGAGGGGTAGGGGGAACAGGCAAGGCCAGCCCAAGTGGTTCCTGGGTACAGTAACTGGAGCCCCTGGGACCTGCCTCACAACAGGTCCCAGGTCCCCAATGCCCCCCTCCCCGCCCCCATCACTAAGAGGTGGCACTTACCAAGACATATACGGCCTTCTCACAGGCAGGCCCAACGGGCCCCCAGCCGGTAGTGCGGCGGAGGCGCCCGGC